ATCAACGAGCCCACGGCGGCCGCCATCGCCTACGGCCTGGATAACAAAAAGGGCGTCGGGCCCTCGAAGACCGTGTTCATCTTCGACCTGGGCGGTGGGACCTTCGACGTGTCCGTGATGAAGATCAGCGGCAGCTCCTTCCAAGTCCTGGCCTCGGGCGGCGACACGCACCTGGGCGGGCAGGACTTCGACGTGCTTCTCCTCGAGCACTGCCTCGAGGTGAGATGCAGACCTCGACAGTCCTCCGCAAGGCCTTTGCAATATAATCTGGAGCTGTCTTTTCTTATCCTTAGGACTTGAAGAAAACGTTGTCTGCGGCCAAGAAGAAGACATTGATGGAGGACAAGCAGGCGATGCAGGACCTGCGCCAGGCCTGCGAGCTCGTCAAGCGCAAGCTGTCCACCGTGCCGCAGGCGCCCCTCTCAGTCTTCTTGTCGCGGCTCAACAAAGGATACCAGACGACGATCTCGAGGTCTATTTTCGAGACCGTTTGCTCCTCATTATTCTTGAAGACCATTCAGATCAGCGAGCAGGTGTTAAGCGACGCAAAGGTAAAAGGACGCTGCTGTTCGTTTTGTCTCGCGCGTTCATGTCCGGGTTCTCACTCTTGCCGTTGATGCGTGTCCCCCAGGTGACTCGTGGGGAGATCGACGAGGTGGTGCTAGTGGGCGGCTCCACCCGCATCCCCAAGGTGCGCGCGCTGCTCCGGGACATGTTCAGCGGCAAGGAGCTGCACCAGTCTATCAACCCGGACGAGGCCGTGGCGTACGGCGCGGCGGTGCACGCCGCCGTGCTGACTGGCGACGCCTTCTTCCAAACCGAGGTCAAGCTCAGGGACGTGACTGCGCTGTCCTTAGGCATCAGTCTAGAAGGGGGAATGTTCTCCGCTGTCATACACAAGAACACGCCTATCCCTTGCAAGGAAACGAAGCGTTACACCAATTGCGAAGATTACCAGAGCTCTGTGCTATTCGAGGTAAGTTGAGTACTTGTGCGCGTTTATTCGTCCGTTTCTGTGCGCGCGCGTGTATGTGTTGTGTGTGTGTGAAGTGGAAAGGGGGGGGGGGGACCTTTATGCTCATCGCCGCTTTTAATACGTTCAGTCTGGTTCAGTGGAGAACTGCACACTCGAAAAAGAGCGGGAAGATCGACCAGCAACGTAACAAAACGGCCTTATTTTTTTGTTGTGCTTGATCGTCTGCTCTCGACGGATCCCAACTCGAAACAAATGCCGTTTTGTTCCTCCTGACCGATCCTCCTGCTCTTTTTCTTTTAAATTTAAGTAAGGGGTCGTTCCAATACTACGTGACCTTTAGAGGAGGGGGGTCGAATATTAAGGGGTCCAAAAAGGATCAGGAACATGATTGGAGTCAATACAGACCCCATGATGTTTGTATCCTGGAGTACTAATTGTTGCTGAGCTTAACTTGAACTTGAAATTAAACTTAATCTTTAAATGCTCAGCTCTGTCAGGAAGCGCAAGGGGAGACCGCCCGGAAGACGGCGTGAAGTGAAGCGCCTGGCTTGAGACGTGGGATGTGAGGTAGGCATGCCAACCAAAATCGCGAAAACATTTTAATTTTAGCGCACCGCAGGCCAAGGTAGACGCACATTTAGCTCAGCTTCACACGGTTTTAACGTGCGTCTACCTTGTATTTAGGGTCCTATGTACTTCAGTGATGGTCTTGATCGTTTCCGAGCACCATAATTATATC